ACGCAAAAAAACCATCCCCCCCCCCCATACAAACACCCCCCCCCCCCGACAATAGAAACATGTCTAGCCTAGATAAGGTCGGCTATACTAAATTCTCGTGTGACATTGGTGAGCGTGTAAAGAATATAAATCAGGGACTCGCAATATTATAGATTTCTATCGATTTTGACTCACAAAGAAGGGGCAGGCAGGAGGAGATGGGTTGATGGATGAACACTTTTGCTACTCTTTTTCCCGTCAGAACGAGAATGAGATATATTATTTGTTAGCGGGGTGTGGGATGAGGAAGGGGGAGAAGAAGAAACCGCGGGAAGGAGAAAGGCCAACAAAATAAAAATCCACAGGTTTTCGTGGGGGAGAGGTTTTAGGGGTAGTGGCAATTGTGCTCATGGTCAAGGTGAACAGATATGAACAATGGAGGTTACCTGACACCACTTTGAGATGTGGAACACAGAACTGGCAGAGTAGGAGAAATATAGAGAACGATAATGACATGGTGGGGGGAATAGGTAGGAGAGGCAGGAGGGTCTTCCCATCCACGTCAGTCATTGGTGGATACATGAGTTACGTAACGGGGATGTACAGTGGTGGACGGTGGTAGTAGTAACAGGGACAACGAGGAAGAAGACAGGAAAATGACATACAGAGGAGAGATAAATATAACTGTTGAATATTCATAAATTCCAGCAGTAACAGAGTCTGAGAGGAGGGGGGTGGTCCTTACAAATATAGAAGGGTAGCTCGACACTCCGGTGTCCTAAACCTTCGTTGCCCTTGGCCGAGAGAAGAGGTTTTCCAACTGCAATGGTTCTGACGGCGACACTGGGTCTCCTAGCAGTATGCGCGGTGCTTGTGGGGCTCTTGGTGGCCCTCATGGACGGCCAATCGAAGAAACAAGAAGGCAACAGACCGCCGGGTCCGAAACCATGGCCCGTTATTGGCAGTCTTCATCTCTTGGGTCAGTACGAGTGTCCATTCGAAGCCTTGACCAACCTCGGCAAGTTATACGGCGAAATCTACAGCATAACACTGGGCACCACGCCGTGCGTTGTCGTCAACAGCTTTCAGCTCATCAAGGAGGTCCTCATCACCAAGGGCTCACACTTTGGTGACCGACCCAACTTCATCCGCTTCCACAAGCTCTTCGGCGGGGATCGCAACAACTGTGAGTCGCACATATTGCTTTTCTCTGAGCAACTGTCTACTAGCACAGTAGGATGTCTATATTTAGCCTCAAACGCAAAATTCTGGACACATGGTAGCGTAGTTGGTTGACGCACTATGCTAAAAGCCGGAAGGTCGCGGGTTCGATTCCCCATGAAATCACTGGATTTTTCAATTGAGCTAATCCTTCCAGCCGCACTATGGCCCTCGGATCGACGCAGCCTCTAATAGAAATGAGTACTAGGAATTTTTCTGGGGGTTAAAGGGCGGCCGGATCATAAGGCTGAAAACCTTACCGCCATCTGTGAGCCGATTGTCTAGAAAATGCAAGAACGTCGATGTCTCAAAACCCTATGGGCCTCCACGGCCTGTTGCAGGGATAGCTTTACTTTTACCTTAACACAGAATTTTAGTTATTCAACTGATTAGGCTAGTTTATAGAACCCAAATTCCCATTATTACTTTTGAACCATATACTGATCCAGTTTAATCCAGTCCACATACACCCTATTTCTGTAAGATTTATTTTGAATGTTATCTCCCATCTATTTCTAGGTCTCCAAAGCGGTCTCTTCTCTTGAGGTTATCGAAAACAAAATGCTACACGTATTTCTTCTTTCTCTCATGCCTGCTACATGATCCGCATATCTTAACGACCTTCCTCTAATGACCCTAAAAATATTAGATAAAGGGTAAAGACTAAGAAACCAATTCTTTATGAAGCTTTACTCTATCTTCATATTACTTCATTAGGGCGTTCTAAGTCAAAATATTTCAAGCGCAATATCTTAATGCAACCAGTAATGAATGTGGACTTCATTTCGTAAAGGGGNAATCCCAGAAGACTGCTTTCTTCATAGTCACCGCCGTGAAAGCCTCAAATCTTACATGGTTTGTACTTCACTGCAAGGACCTGAAAATCATTCACGTATTTGAAACAACGTCGTCGCTCTTGTTGGGTGCAAAATCTTCGTTCTCTAATCCAAACATCGTCACAAATAAATACCATCTTCCATATTTGGAGAGGAGGAATGAGAGTTAAAGTATCTAAATACGCCATACTTTCAATACTGAAATTATACCCTTTCTAAGCGAATCCAACTTAAAATATCCACATGCTTATCGCCACACCAAAAATGTATATGGAAGTAAAAGTCCACGCATTCTTAACCTGCGTGCATTGGATCAGCTCAGTGTCGCGCTTGGATAGGGCAGAGAATTATTTACGATTGTTTACCTACAGTTCTCCTTAAAAGCCATACGTGACGCTGCAGAGGGTAGCTAAAACACTTTGTGTTCGCAAGGTCCCAGGTCCGAGTCTCATCAGGGAAACCGGCTATTCTGACACCAGCTTTCCTGGTTTCTGCCAGTCATTCTGTGCAAGTTCAGACGTACGGGCTGGGACAGCTGATTCGGTATTGCGACCAGATGACTTGGTACGTTGGCCACTAATTGGCCTACTGTATCAGCCCCGGATGGTAGATGAGTATGGAGCATTTAGTGAAATGAGAATTTGGGATCGAACCCGGGCCGCTGTGGTGGGAAACTGGCGATTAATCGCCTGAGCTATGGCACGGCCTATTGTGACTAGGCTGAGTGACTGAGGAATCGGGGTTTGAATCCTTGTAGGGAAAGGGTTTCTCTCTTCTCCATAATGTCAGGAACTGCTCTGGGGTCCACAAAAATTCCTTCCCAATGTGCACCGGGGCATGAAGCTGATCACTCACCTCAATCCAGTGCCGTGGTTAAGAATGCATAGAACTGTAGCTTCACTGAGCCACACTTCATGGCGCGGTGCTTAATTAATTGTGGGGGCAGCTTTAGCATTACTTTTCCAATTATGCAAACATTCAACGCTATAAGCCTCTAAGCTATGTAGTGACCGTCATGAAATTTGGTGTCCCTTAGTTTATATAACAACGCTGCCTCAGTTCCATAGGGTAAATAATATGTTTGTTTTTTTTCATGGAGGGTTGATTGTGGATAATGTATTAGAAGGTATTTTGAAGTGGTGGTGGACATCTTTAAGGCTTTATCCTAAAATTTCCTCTTCTATCTATCTATCTATCTATCTATCTATCTATGGCTTTACAGCCCTTTGTTGGGCCTTGGCCGTTTTTTCAGTTTTTTGATCTTCTACACAGTCGGTAGGATCAGCAAGTCGCTACCCGCTACCCGCACACAGGACAGCGCAAACACAGAATAAATGCACACAGACGTTTGTGCCTCAAGTAGGATTCGAACCCAAGATCCCAGTGTTTGAGCGGGCGAAGACAGTTCATGCTTTAGACCGCCTGGCAACTGTGATTGGCTTTCGTCCATCTGGTGCCGATATTAAGAAAAAGTAGATCTGTACCTTTTTTCCATAAGTCTTCATGGCGTCGTGCTTAATTAAGCACACAGACAAGTTTGTAGCTTTTTAACAATCTTTGTGAAACCATATCCAGTTCGTTGTCATTACGAAATAGCCCCATCCGATCTGCTAGTTACATACGAATTGTTCACCCACGGTCTCCACGGTCAGTCGAGCAAGTTGTAAGACGTTCAAAATAAGACAAAATGCTGTCACATGTTTCGATGTTGCTACTGTTGAAGTTGAATGCGCGTCATAATAGAAACACAGCGAAACAAACAACAAACCAGCCATCACCAGGGCTGAATCAGAATGCTGCAACTGTGTCTCCTTCGTCCACGGCGTAGGATGTGATTTAAATGCTTCACGTCACCGAGGGATTCATTCAGGTTCTCACAACAGTTTCATCCTCAGCTGAAGAAACTTGATCTAACAGCACGGTACAAGGTCTTCCTTGGAAAGTTTGTTGCTACTCCACAGCTCATGATGGTCTTCGCCTTTTAAGCAGTCAATATGTTCATTGTCTTGCCAACAAACGACCACCACTGATCATTTTCTAAGCTAATTTAAGCTAGTCAGAACCCCTCATACGCCAGTCTGGATAGCTCAGTCGGTATAGCGACTGGCTTACGGGCTTGACGGCCGGGGTTAAATTCCCGACAGTGCAAAATTTTTCTCTTCTCCACAGCCTCCAGACGGGCTCCATGGCTCAGCCAGCCTCCTATCTAATGGGTACCGGGAGTAAAGCAGCCGGGGCATGATGCTAACCACTAATCATCCATTACTTAGATTAAGAAAGATGGACCTATACTTCATCTCCCCCAATATGTCTTCCTGGCAGTGTTTAAATGATTCAGTACAGGGGTAATTTCTTTTTGCCTTTCTTAAAATCAGGGCTGGATTTAGAGTTATGGGGGCCCCGAAGTAATCATCAAAATGTCTAGGCCTCTACCAGTAAGAATAAATTTGTGGCACTTATTTCTCTTCTCACTCATTATAATAATTAAAAATACAAACTAACTTCTCGTGATTTTGGAGAAGCAAGTATGTCAGCGGAATCTTTGGGCTCAATTTCTGATTTTCGGAGGCAACAGAGCGACCATCCTTTTCGGATCTACTATTTTTCCAATGAATTTTAATGTCGCATAACACACTGCTTGCAGAAAGAGATGGCAATGTACGAGTAAGTACAACTGGCCATCAGAGCACGACGTGTCCCAGCGAAACGTGGAGCTGACACAGCCGGGTGTGATACTCGGAAGACCTGGGAAAGCGAATTAAGTTTTTTTCTAAAAACGCAATATTCTCATAGCATTTTATATTGAACGTTCCGGTTTCAGTCTCGAAGGGAAATTGCCCATTCTGAGTTAGACTTTCTGCAGTTATCCCCTGCACCATCAGGTATATCCCGGTCTCAGAATAGGCCACGGCTTCTTCTGTTCTATTGAAGTGGAACAGGAATTGACTGGTTTAAAGCCACCAAGAAATTTCGGGCACGGAAAACTAGTTAAGCACGATGCCATAAAGACATACGGGGGTAGCGGAAGTATCGCTCCATCTTTCTTTACGTAGGAGACTTGGTTGGCCCCGGAATCTGTCTGGAAAAGAGAAAAATCTCGCCCCTACCGGGACTCGAACTCCTACTCGTCGTCTTTCCAGCCCGTAGCCAGTCGCTATACCGACTGTGATATCCCAGACTCGCACAGTGTCAATGAATTTTATATGTCCCATAATCAAACATAAAGGGCAAGCAGTTTGCAGAATAATAGACAAAGCATTTGGAAAATGTACATTTTCCTCTGCTGCTAATTGCTTCTACCAGTGCCTAAATTATTTTGCTGTCGAAGTGGAAGCCGGAGGAAGATTCGCTTGTTGAGCATTTCAAGTTTCCAAGGTTAGTCTGGCCTCAAAGTAATGGAGCCGTAACGCTAAGTACAGATCATGCCCGTTGTTCTGGGAACATAAATAGACCAACATAAATCGGTTGCTGATACGCTCTTGTTCTAACGAATTACAGCAAGACATTGGCGTATACCCGGAAGTGTAGTTACGAGACTCTCTCGCCAGATGTCCTGCTATCGCCTCCTGCCGACGGCTGGAATTTGTTTTCTCTGTTCTCATTTTTCACGATGAGGTGAAACAAGCATTTTGCTGCCTTGGCGGATCAAACTCCACGTAACTTTGCACTCGCAAATCAGTCACTTGTTACGCTTCATGAAGTGGTCTTACGTTTTCCTTTGGTGATTCGGCACTTTACATTTTGCACAATTGTGTAAATTTCCTGTTCGTTTAGCGCTTCGTGTTATTGCTTTGTCGCAGAAGTGCCTTGGCAAAGTTCTTCAAGCTACAGTCTTCAGTCAGAGTGACAAAACGTCGTTGTGTCTTGTTTAGTATACTTTCTCCTTTAGTTTCTACGGCAGGAGTGAGACTGAGTCCACTTCGTACGTCGGCCAATAATTGGCATGTTGTACCATCCCAAGACGATATGTGATGATTGTGAAGCAGCCGGTGGAATTGGCAAGGGAAGCCGAAGTACTCGGAGAAAACCTGCCCCTGTGCTACTTTGTCCACCATAAATTCCACATGACCTGACCTGGGTTCGAACTCGGGCCGCCGCGGTGGGAAGCCGGCGACTACCCTCCTGAGCT